AGGTAGTCAGTCATCCATGGAGACACTGTCTCTGAGGCCGTACCCTCCTTTGTGAGCAGCGACCAACAGTCCTCGGGCCAGAGGACGGGGAGTGTCCCGAGAACAAGGCCATGACCCTCACAGGGTCCCGGAGGTGCCCAGGGAACCATACTAGCCGCTGTTCCCCTTCCTCCCCCTCCCCAAGGACAAACAGGCAAGGAAAGTGTCTGGCCATAGTGGGATCCCATGGGTGGCAGAGGAGCCGGGAGCAGCCTGACCCTGCCTGGGCCCCACACACACACCTGCCCTTTGCAGCACTGTCCACGGGAGCAGGTGGTGCCTCGCATGTGCAGGCATGCCCATGTGCTGTGTGGGGCACTCTTCGGTGTGTCTGGATTATGCCTGCGCCCCCTTTTGGCTAGCCTGCTTCTTGCCGTGGTAGGTGGTGGGAGGGTATCCCCCACCCAGGGCCAGACATGTTTGTGGCCTCCCCTGAACCTGGAAACAGGAGCCTGGGTGGACTTGGGCTGCCTGCAGAGTATGCGTGGCACACAGTAATGCTGCATGTGGTTCCACGTGCACAGACTGCAGCATGATGAGCAGGCCAATTGACAATCTCATCCCTTCCCCCTGCGCCTGCCTCCCGTGCCCTGTGTGTGACACAAACTGAGAGCACTCACCTGAAGATCTTTTCCCAGTGTCAGACAATGCCTGGGACACGTCCTGGCTCATGGCAACTGGCTCCAGGGACAGTGTCACTGTGGCCGTGTTGTCCTCCTCTTCCTGCTGTTCTTCCTCCTCCTCTGTGACCTCCAGTCGGGTGATGACGGGTATCTCTAGTCCGGAGTCCACCATAATGTGTGGGGAAATGGCTTCCCCACCCCCCAGGATCTCCCGCTAGTAGGGTCAGGTGTGGGGTCCTGCCCCGGAACGCAAGCCGCGCTCTCCGGTCCTCACATATCCCTGGCGGCGCTCCTTTACCTTACTCTGGACCTGTTCCAAGGTCCAGGCAGGGGGAATGTCCCCTCTCAGCCAGGGACTTGGCCATAAATCTCTGAATTGTGGTGTTTGGAACGGAGATCCTGTAGTGTCGTCTTCTCCCCCCACAGATCAAGTAAGGACAGGATCTCCGCTCCAGACCACAAGGTTGCCTGATGATTGGTACCCCTTGGTGGGTCTTTGGAGCCCTGGTGTTGCTTCCTGTGAGGGCCAGGATGGTTTTGGGGGGCTTGTGGGTGTGCCATGGGTGAACAGGCCTGTGGCAGGGAGAGCCGTGCAGTCAGGGTGCTGCTCCAGGGCTGGTTTCCTCCCTGCCACAAGGCTTGTCCAGGGTGCCTGCACCTTTAAGAGGGGCCAGGACACAGGAACTATAGAGTTGTGATTACTTTGGACGGAGTGGCCACCAGGGCACCTGTGTTATTTCCTGGATGCCTCATCTTTCGAAAAAAAACCCTCTTCCCCATCCACATATGCCTTTTTCTGAAAGAGCTCTTTCAGAAAAGGTGCTCTTCCTTGTAGAAAGAGGTTTACCGTTGTTGGAAAACATAAGAACATAAGAACGGCCGTACTGGGTCAGACCAAAGGTCCATCTAGCCCAGTATCCTGTCTACCGACAGTGGCCAGCACCAGGTGCCCC